AGCTTTGTCCATGGCACACATCTTCAGACATGCTAGTACTTCTTGCTCCTCAAACTCCCTTTGTAGCAGTTCGTTTTCAGCTTCAGTGACCATTGCACAGTTGATTAGGTTGCTGGAAGGTCTTCTATATGATGTTTTTGAGTAAAGCTTCTGATAAAAACCAATAATCTCCCCTTTAATTCTCTCTGGATCCTTCACTGTTTCATCTTGAATTATCAGTTGATCAATGTTGTTGCATCTTTTGTGTGCATTGGCCACTTTGTGGAAATACTTTTGGGAATGTAGTGCACACTTACTGCCTTAACTCTTAAACATGCTAAATTCTTGCAATTTGTTCTTGTTGAGGAATATCAATTTGCTAAGGTTTATAAGCATTTGGACTTTTGGGAATGTAGTGTGCATTTTATTCACTACTTTAATCATGCCAAATTCTTGCAATTTTTCCTGTTGAAGAATATCAATTTGCTATGTGTTTAATCTCCTGTTGCAAACTCATTTGAACTTTGGACTGCTAAAAAATTCCAATCTGGCCGTCTGGCTAGATAGTTTCCTGCCAAACACTGAACGATATGTTGTTTTAATGCAGGCTGTGGTATTTACTAACACCAGCTTAGAGGACGCACTAGAATTCAATGACTACTGCCACAACCATCAACCCCCTATTGCATTTATCAGAACTGAAGTGAGGGGTCTATTTGGTTATGTCTTCTGTGATTTTGGCCCTGAGTTTACAGTTTTTGATGTAGATGGTGAAGAACCTCATACGGGTATTATTGCATCAATTAGTAATGATAACCCTGCCCTAATTTCGTGTGTGGATGATGAAAGGCTTGAGTTTCAGGATGGGGACCTAGTTGTCTTTTCAGAAGTACAGGGCATGACAGAACTTAATGATGGCAAGCCAAGAAAAATTAGCAGTGCAAGACCTTATTCCTTTACCCTCGATGAAGACACAACGAACTTTGGTCCCTATGTAAGAGGTGGTATTGTTACTCAGGTGAAGCCACCCAAAATTTTGAACTTCAAGACACTGAGGGAATCTATCATGGATCCTGGCGATTTCCTTCTTAGTGATTTTTCAAAGTTTGACCGCCCACCTCTGCTACATTTGGCATTCCAAGCATTAGACAAGTTCAGATCAGATTTGGCACGGTTTCCTCTTGCTGGTTCAGAAGATGATGCTCAGACGCTGATATCTATTGCGACCAATTTAAATGAAAGTAATGGGAATGTCAAACTGGACGATATAAACCCAAAACTTCTACAGAAGTTCTCTTATGGTGCACGTGCCGAACTTAATCCCATGGCTGCTATGTTTGGTGGTATTGTCGGGCAGGAGGTTGTGAAGGCTTGCTCTGGGAAGTTTCATCCACTTTATCAGGTTACAAATGCTGTTACTGTCTTCTGTCGGTTTCTTTTCTATTTGGTTCTTTTTTGAGAGGTCCTTCCCCATCCCCCCCCCCCAATTCCCCACACGAAAGATGGGGGTGGGGTGGAGGAGGCATTACATTGAACAATTAATTTGGTTGCTTTATTATTTTTTTTTTGATTTATGCATGAGGGTTTAAAGGAGACTGACTTTCTTTAGTTGTTGTTTTTTTGTTATATTTGTTTACAGTTCTTTTACTTTGACTCCCTGGAATCACTTCCAACTGAACCACTTGATCCTAGTGATTTGAAGCCATTAAATACTCGGTATGATGCCCAAATCTCAGTCTTTGGGAAGAAATTCCAGAAGAAACTAGAAGATGCCAAGGTGTTTATGGTGGGATCTGGTGCCCTGGGTTGTGAGTTCCTGAAGAACTTGGCTTTAATGGGAGTTGCATGCACCGAGCAAGGGAAATTAACAGTGACTGATGATGATGTCATTGAGAAGAGTAATCTCAGTAGACAATTTCTCTTCCGTGATTGGAACATCGGCCAGGCAAAATCTACTGTTGCTGCTGCTGCTGCAACATCAATAAATCCCCAGCTCCGGGTTGAAGCTTTGCAGAACCGTGTGGGTCCTGAAACTGAAAATGTGTTTGATGACACTTTCTGGGAGAATCTTAGTGTGGTTATTAACGCACTTGACAATGTCAATGCAAGACTTTATGTCGATCAGAGATGCTTGTACTTTCAGAAGCCACTGCTTGAATCAGGGACCCTTGGAGCCAAATGTAACACTCAGATGGTGATTCCCCATCTGACTGAGAATTATGGTGCATCAAGAGATCCTCCAGAGAAACAAGCACCAATGTGCACTTTGCATTCCTTCCCACATAATATAGATCATTGTTTGACATGGGCACGATCCGAATTTGAGGGTTTGCTTGAGAAAACACCAGCCGAAGTGAATGCTTATCTTTCTAATCCAAACGAATATACATCTGCACAAACAAATGCTGGGGATGCTCAAGCCAGAGACAATTTGGAGCGTATTCTCGAATGTCTAGATCGAGAAAGCTGTGAAACTTTTGAAGATTGCATTGCATGGGCACGTCTCAAGTAAGTACACTACCATTTTGATTTGTCCTTCTGCATATAATATCGTAGCGTGTTGTCTTTATTTCTGCTGTTTCTGATCTTTGTTCTTTTCCAGGTTTGAAGAATATTTTGCAAACCGAGTAAAACAATTGATTTTCACATTCCCGGAGGATGCAGTGACCAGCTCTGGAGCCCCTTTTTGGTCAGCCCCCAAGCGCTTCCCTCGCCCCTTGCAGTTCTCTTCTACCGACCCAAGTCATCTCCATTTTATCATGGCTGCATCCATATTGCGTGCTGAAACATTTGGTATACCTATTCCTGATTGGGTTAAGCACCCACAGAAATTGAGTGAAGCAGTGCACAAGGTTATGGTCCCATGTTTTCAACCTAGAAAAGATGCGAAAATTGTGACTGATGAGAAGGCAACCAGTCTCTCTTCATCAGCTTCTATAGATGATGCTGCGGTTATCGATGAACTTATATCAAAGCTGGAGTGCGGTAGGAAGAATTTGCCACCAGGCTTCAGGATGAAACCTATTCAATTTGAGAAGGTCGCATTTTTGTGATGTCCCCTCTCCCTTAAACTCTTAATTAAAAATTTGCATGATGCTTAGATGAATTGTCTCGGTTGCTGATGTTTCATCTGATTGCAGGACGATGACACTAATTTCCATATGGATCTTATAGCTGCACTTGCCAACATGAGAGCAAGGAACTACTGTATCCCCGAAGTTGACAAACTGAAAGCTAAGTTTATCGCGGGAAGGATCATCCCAGCAATCGCAACTACTACTGCGATGGCTACAGGTTTGGTTTGCCTTGAGCTGTATAAGGTTCTAGATGGCAGTCACAAACTGGAGGACTACCGGAACACGTTTGCCAACCTTGCTCTACCTCTTTTTTCCATAGCTGAGCCAGTACCACCCAAGATCATCAAACATAATGACCTGAGCTGGACTGTTTGGGATAGGTGGGTCATCAAGGACAATCCTACACTGAGAGAACTAATCCAATGGCTTGCAGACAAAGGACTGAATGCATACAGCATTTCATGTGGAAGCTGCCTGCTCTTTAACAGCATGTTCCCCCGGCACAAAGAACGGATGGACCAGAAAGTAGTAGATTTGGCGAGGGACGTGGCAAAGATGGAGATACCACCATACCGCCGTCACTTGGATGTTGTTGTTGCCTGTGATGACGACAACGACGAAGACGTTGATATTCCTCTGGTGTCTGTATACTTCCGTTGAATTTTCTTGGTAATCAATTCCAGTATTGGTTTCGAAGTTCAGGATCATACATCATCTTGTATGCACTATCCTCCAGTCTCTATGTTCTAATAATATAAGATACACGGCAAGATTCTTTTCCGTAGCAACTTTGATTCTTACTATGCCCATTGATGGTGCCTCGCTATATTTTGAACCTGCTTTCGTTTTGTATGTATATTCTGCATTTTGTCAATTCAGTTACTTGTCAAGATTACGGGGTCATCACGAGAATGGCCTGAGAGGTGAGTGTTCTAAAATTTTTGTCCTTGTTTACCTCATGGATGAAAATATAAATCGTACCAACTTTTGATCTTGAATGTCTGTCCATGAAACGGTGGGGGTCAAATTTTTTGAAGACCATTCAATTTTTGAGGTTATTGGGTTTAAAGTATGTTCCATTAATCATCATCGGCCATGCATAGCTTCTATCTTGGTCAGTCGCTATCTTCTTTGATTCATGATATGATTTGAAAATATTTTTGAATGTGATATTATCATGATACAATAAAGTAGATAAGTAATTCTTTAACGATCAAATGGAGGGAAGAATAAATTTTCAATGTCGATAATGTTAAATGACTCAGTAATGGATCAAAAAGAAATGTGAAACCCTAGTTATACGGCCAATAATATAAAATTTGCATTTTCAACTTGAATTTTAGAGAGTGAGTAGATATAGCAGTTTTTGATTTTTTTATGAATAATTTAAGCTTGTTATAAATTAAATTGGAGAAAATATAAAGAGAAAGAAGAGCAAAAATGTGAGGAAGTCTATATATTCTTTAACGTTAACAAATATATTAAAATATGATCCATAAATATACATAAATCACGGTAAAACTTTTTAAATAAAAATTATATATTCAAACAAATATTATTTGGCTAAACGAGCACACCTAGTTTTGTTAGAAAATTAGCTCACGACTCCTTTGTTTTTGATCTTGTGAACTTTGGACTGAAATTGTCCATTTTTTAAAAAATAAGGGATGTTTTACATTTACTACTATACATAAGGGAAAAACGGCTACTTTTCCGTCCAAAATTATTTGTCATGTTATATTTATTAAAAAATAATATAATTAATTTTTAAAGATAAATTAGATCACATTAATTTAATATTTCAATTAAAAAAATTAGACATTCTAAAATTATATAAAAAGTACAATAAATTTTAATTTTTTACATATTACTATAATGAAAAAATATATCTTAAAATATTAGTTAAAAATTTTATAATTTAATTTTAAAAATAGAGAAGTATAAGAGAAGGACTATCTCAGTCTCTTTTTCTCAAATTTCACAAAGCCAACTTGTTCTTCAGACGAAAACATCTTCAGCTGCAATGGCGACTGTACGAATGATTGGTAAAATCTTACTGCCCTTCTATTTTCCGGGTCAATTTCTCGTAATCAGAAGTAAATTTTTGATGTTTTATCTAATTAAATTTTTGAATTCGAGCAGATATAGCCGTCAATTTCACTGGTAAGTAAGCAGCAAAATGCAATAACTATTTCCAAGATTCAATTTTTTTGTGTTCATTCTAAATTTTGAAGAAACCCCAACAATTCAGATAGCATGTTCAAAGGGATATACAATGGAAAACAGTATCATATGGGTGACATTCAAGCTGTGTTGAAAAGGGCGTGGAGTGCTGGAGTTGAAAGAATAATAGTAAAAACCCTTCACACTTACTTTTCTTTTGTTATTTAGTTGATTTGCTTGAATGGGTTTCGAGTGAGTCATAGAAGCAGCCACTAATGATTGCTTGCATTAGGGGACGTAGACTGTCTAGGTCACACCCTTCAGGGTGCAACCCTTTACCGGACCCTGCTAATGCGGGATGCTTAGTGTACCGAACTGCCCTTTTTGTTTGAATTTTGTTGCAGTGAAGACTATGATACAATGTGGAGCTTTTTGAAGGATCTTACAATGCTTTTTACCAAGTTTTGGTTTTCTTCTATCTTGTTGTAATATTCCACATTTTATATCAAATCTGACTTGCAATTCTGATGTGTTAAAAATCCAAAAGATTCACCCCTTGATGTGTGTACTAAAAGATGGACTACTCCATTGTAAAATCACGTTTCTTAAATAATTACGATACGATCGCGGGTTCGAGCTGTAGAACAGTTTTTTTGTTTGTTTGTAGAAAAGCAAGGTAAGGCTGCGTGGAATAGACCCTTGTGATTTGGGTGATAAAGAATTTGTTCAATTAGCTTATACTCGTACCAAAAAGATCTTGTTTTAATTAATTACCGGACTTGTTCTACAGCAAGAACGAGAACTACTACTCAATAGTTGGAATCAATCAAATACTTGAAGATTAGGTTCTCTAGCAAAAAGAGTTCTCTACATATCTTACTAGCGCACAGACCAAGATACATCTATTTCTTCCACTTGTAACTTAAAAAATACCCTTGGAATGACCCTTCCAACTGATAGAGTCCCTTTTGTAGTCGTCCTAAACAATGTTGCTTAGCATTTGAAATACCTAATCTTTCCATTTCCCAATCATATATATCCCTTCTCAAACTCGAAGTCCAGCCTGTGATATACAGAATTCTGCAGTTGTTCCATTGTGACATGTTGATAGATAATAAAAAACCAAGAAATGATCTTTTAGTGAGATATGTTAATCTGATTTTCCTTCCATTTACAAGAGTAAACCCCATATTTGTCTCGAACTTGTTCCAAAGCCCTCTAATTTGTTCCCATACCCCGATGCCATGAGGCATTATAGACTCTTTGGCGTGCCATGGATTGTCCAGAGAACTTTTCCAGTAAAATTCTCCTCCAAAGTGCATTACCCTCCATGTTAAATCTCCAATGCCACTTATGGCTTTCAGTATTACATTTTTAATTCCTAGATTCCCCTTCCTGTTATCTTTGGTGACTGTTTTCCAGCTTACAAGACAAATAGGTTTCGTTAGTTCATTAGCTTGCCTCAAAAAAAAATCTCTCGTTAATTTGTCCATGTGCTTCAACACTGAAGAAGGAGCTGAAAAAAGAGACATTGTATAGGTGGGTAGTGCACCAAGAACACTGCTAATTATATTGTGGTTGTACCACCCAAGGAGAGATATTGTCTCGTCCAATTTGCCCACCTCTTTTCCATCTTCTCAAGGACGTCATTTCAAATTTTCATCGATTTGTGTTTGTCTCCCAATGGTAAACCCAAATATTTTTTATGCTAAGTCTGCATGCTTCCAACAGATTGTTACCCTTTCGATATAGTTACCATCATGTGATTCTAGGCCTACCTTGTCCCTCTTCAATCATCATGGTTTCACGTCTATGGATCGCTCTGTATGGAGTTTGACATAGGACATGACTAAACTATCTCAAGTGACCTTCTGTCATTTTATCCTCTTATATGTGCTACTGATACCTTCTACATGATGTGATCATACTCCCATTAACATTTCTTAAACAAAAATCATTCAACTCCCATATTTTACATTTATGGTCTTACAGCCATTCTATGAACTTGCCTTTCACTTGTTCTACTGAAGATCATAATTTGGTTAGAATTTTCCTTCCAGGTAACTGGTGGCTCTCTTGAAGAATCAAAGGAAGCTCTTGCCATTGCTGAAACAGATGGTTGTCCATATGTCTTTATTTAGCTGATTTACTCTGACTATTTTTATTCTTTTGCAGCAAGTTGGCTTCTCAAATATATTGGCATGTCTGACCTTGAGAACTAACTCTTTTTTTGCAGCAAGACTTTTCTGTACTGTGGGAGTGCACCCGACAAGATGCAAAGTGGGTTTCACTCTTGTTGTTTTTTAATGACCTACAGAAAAAACCCTACCCATTCATATATGTTGGATGCTTTGTCATTTCTTCTTCCATTCTCAATCAGGAATTTGAAGACAGTGGGGATCCAGAAAAGCATTTGCAGGATCTTTTGACATTGGCTAAAGAGGGAAAAGAAAAAGGAAAAGTATGTTCAATTTTTCTGTATATAAGGTTATGGAATTATTGAACTACACCTTCTTGGTAAATTCCCTGTTCAAATTAGCAACTTTTGAGAAACTTTAATACTATACTTCTTAATGTGTGAACTACGAGCAGTTTAAGCTCCTGGGTTAACTGATCTTATGTTTCAATTGCTCCAAACTTTTTTGAAAAGGATTTGTTCCTATAATGACACTAGTATATCCAAAAGAATACTGAATCATTTGCACACTTTTTAAGATGTGATATTTTTAACAATTTAAGCTCATCCTTTAACTGCTTTGAGGTTTCATTGACTCCAAATCAAGGAAGAAAATTTTTTTCCCCTAAAAGAGCTTAGAAGATTTTAAGAATTTTACAAGCTCTAACATTTGGAGATCTACTTTTTGGGCTAACTTCCTACATTGTGCTAGGAAGACGGCAAACAAACATTGAACGCTGTAAGAAGCTTATAATGACAAAAGATTTGTTTATAAGATGCGCATTGTAATGCATTCTAATGATATAGCAAGTCACCCATTATGTGATTCGTTCCTTTTCTCTCGTGAATATACACTTCTGCATAAATCTTTTCTTTATTGGCTAGCAAGTTTTTTGGATCTATTTTAATTGTGACTATGTATTCTTGGTGCCTAAAAAATAACAGTAGCTTATCTTTATTTACTTGCTTTGCTAACGACAAAATTCATTTCAAACAAGGTGGTTGCGATTGGCGAATGTGGGTTGGACTATGATAGACTTCACTTTTGTCCATCTGACATTCAGAAGAAGTATGTATCTGCTTGAAATCACCCACCCCAATGAGTTCTTCCTTAATTTACAGCACTCTTGTTCTCTCACAACCCCCAAGCAAAAGCAAGTGGCGAAGCTGTGTTGCTCAATCCCCGCACGACTCCCCCCCCCCCCCCCAAAAAAAAAAAAAAACCTGTGTTTGGTGACATTTTAGCTGAAGGAGTTACTTCTTCCTCAACTTGTAGCCTAGGTGTACCTTTTGGTGACTATTTTTTTGTAGTTTCGCCTTGTTTCCACTTTGCTGATGTGCTCTTGCTTTCTATTTTGAAATATAGGTACTTTGAAAAACAGTTTGAGTTGGCATATACAATGAAGCTGCCAATGTTTCTTCACATGCGAGCAGCTTCTCAGGATTTCTGTGACATTCTTCAACGAAATAAGGATCGGTAACATTTTGTACTTGTTGGAGATAAAGCAAAATGGCTCGGCTTTAATTTTCACCTTGTATTCCGCAGAAGAATTGCAGAAAGATCAAGTTAATTAATCTAAAATCTTGTAGTCCTTAGGTTTTCCATAAGCCAGCTTAAAGGGGGGAAGAATTAATAAAGTAATAAACCTCCAGTATCTCACGATTTCGCAACTGTATGTCTGACTCCCATATCTCACTGCTTTTGGGATGGAGCCGGACCCCCATTACTAGAAGGGTACCGCCTATGTGGGTTCAGGGAAAAGCGGATGTAGACAGCGTTACCTCCTCATGTCAAAATTTGTTATGGGGCCAACTTATGCCGAGATTTGCTAATGCTACAACACTGATGTAAAACTTCAAATGCTGTTTGACTGGATAATCTGTCTTATGGAATGGAGATAGTACCCTAGTCTTGTTTTGTTTGATTAAGTGATATTAAACAACATTATCATGGTTCAAGTTTATTTGATGCATTGTTGCAGCTTTATATAAATCAGTGCTATCAAAAGCTCTAAGGTCTGTTGGGGCTTTAAGTGTAAACCGCAATAAAGTGTGGGCTTTGATTATAAAAAGGCGCAAAGGGAGAACATATATTTGTGTGTGTGTGTGTGTTTAGTTCAAGACTAATAATTATAAGCATGAATGACAAATATATGAACAAAAAAATTGAAAAATATTTATGATGAAGTGAAATTCAATTGTTTAGTGTCACCTCTTCTTCAGAAGAGACAAGTATGCCTTATAACCATGATAATGACACTGAAGCGCACATTAAGCGACGTGAAGAACTCAATACGTTTTGGCCTTGCTTCAGGGCTTAAGCATGCCTTTGACAACACTGATATAAATGGCATTCTGATAAACCAGTTGCGTTGAACAGGTTTGTTGCTGGCATTGCACACTCTTTCACTGGAAGTGCTGAAGATTGTGATAAACTTCTTTCATTTAGTAATGTTTTTATAGGTGAAATCTCTGGTTCATTGTATTCTATCTTTTAATTTAGAAGCTGTCATGTTCATGTGTTTTCCATGAGATACTTAAATTGCTCGATACTGATTTACTTAAATCTGTTTATGTCACTCTGTTTGAACAACTTATCTTAGGAATAAATGGTTGCTCTCTCAAGACAGCTGAGAACCTTGAAGTTGTAAAGGGTATACCTGTTGAGCGAATGATGATTGAAACAGATTCACCATACTGTGATATTAAGAATACACATGCTGGGATAAGGTATGTGAAATCCTCATGGCCTTCAAAGAAAAAGGATAAGCATGATCAAGAATGCCTTGTCAAAGGTCGCAACGAGCCTTGCTTAGTTCGGTGAGTGTCATAGCACTCTTATTGCTAGTTATATGATTCTTTTTCCATTTCTAATAGACATCAATTCAAACAGTGTTCCTGGATTGAAGTTGATTGAACATGAAAGCTACAACTTGTCAACTTCCTTGTATTTCTAAATTAGATATTCTTTGTAGGATACCAGTGTCTGGATTAGTTTCCCTTCTTTTATCCCTTAAATACACTTTTAAATATTAAAGATCTACTTTCAATACTTATTTAATCAAAAAAAGTAATTTTAGAGTCGGGAAAGGATACAGACTTGGACAAACTCATTCCAAGTAGAACTGGAAAAGCAGAATATCTGAGATGTGGATGGAAGCAGGGAAGGGGTAGAAGAGCTATCCTTACAAAACATGCCCACTGAACTTCAAATTGGCAAGTGCCACAGTCCAAAAAGATAATAAACTAAAAAACAAAAAGCAAATTTAAAAAATATAGAAAAAGATAGAAAACTCAAAGAAAGTGTTAACTATTCAATCTGGGATACTTGACCTTTCATGAAATTTGTCTTTCTATTTATGATCTGTCATCACAAACGCCTCCAATATTGTCAGACGTATTTTGAACTTTCTACTATTACTAGTTATTAGAAGAAGTGGCTGTTTGCTTCAACAATGAGGTGTGGTTTGGGGTTGTAGGGTTTGATTTTGAACTTAGAGTTCAGTCTGATGCATTCTTTGGTAATTTTACTTTGTTCCCGATGCTTTTAGTTCTCTCTATATTGTTTCTGTTGTGGGATATTTTCCCATTACTTATGCCTTGGCAATATAGCAGTACTACTAGCTGCATATGATTCTCTGTATCTCGAGTTTGATCTTGATTTCTTGAAAAATATCGACTCCCTCTTCCCAGGCAAGTGCTTGAAGTTGTTGCAGGCACTAAAGGTATCGCTGACATAGACCAACTGAGCCAGACACTGTACCATAATACGTGCAGGTGATTACAATGTCTCCTCTTTTTCACATCTCTATACTTGTACGGCAAGAAAATAGACGGTTTCTTATACTAAAGACATGCTGAACAATTGGAAAATGAGGGTTAATTTTCATTTCCCAAGACAAAACTTGGATGCCTTTCAAGGTATTCCCGTTCTTCATACTTTTGGGGCCAAGAATGCTTTCTTATTGTAGGATGTGAAAATTTCTTCATACTTTTGGGGCCAAGAATGCTTTCTTATTGTAGGATGTGAAAATTTCGGTTCTTTTTAGCCAAAGGATTATCTCAGTAACACAAAATTTTGGGATTATCTCAGTAATCCAAATTTTTGGTTCTTTTTAGGCATCTCAGATATTATTGATTACTGGGGAAAGAGCCTGGCAGTTTTCTGCTTGCACTTCCATGTCTAAGCAATTTCTTTTACATAATGTTCTTGAGTCAAAAAAGTATTGGGATGAAGTGATTAGGCAGGATATGGCACAATTTAGCTATACGAGGACATGATCCTTTGATAGGAGGGTGTGGAGGTCGAGAATTAGGATAGAGCGTTAGTAAGGTAGTCGGACGTATTTCTTTTCCTTTCACTTGAGTAGTATTAGTCTTATTTCTTGTTATTTTTAGATTTCTATTACTGCATGTTCCTTTAGCCTTGGTTATCTAATCATCTTATTACTTCTCTTCTTTTTCAACCTCTCTACCTTCTCAAGGTAGGGGTAAAGTTCGAGTGCACTCTACTATCCCCTGACCCCACAAGTGGGATTCTATTATGTTGGGGTTGTTGTTGTTGTAATGTTCTCGAGTCACTCATGAAGATTTGAGCTCATTCACGTGAACGTTTTCAGGGTTTTCTTTCCTCATGATTTGGATTCGGCAGCAGAAGCCCTTCTTGCTAGTTGTAGGGAAGATCTATAAGGCTGCTGCACTCTGCTAGTCTTTCACAGTGTATGAGAAACAAAGAAAACACAACCTTTTAAGATGGGAATTATGTAAATTTTAATTTTCTAAGATAAAACGCATTCTGTTCGATGAAGAAAACACAGATTTAATGTTGAGCAAAAGTTACTGAATCCGGTTGAACTTTATGTCAGGACTTCTAGGTCCACTCTTGACAACAGCAACAATGCATTATTTTTCTTCTAGTTCTTGTTAGAAGTTTCATGTAATAACACTCTAATTTGCTATTTTGCAAAATTGTGTTAGCAAGAGATTGATTTTTCAGCATGTTTGTAAATGTGTGGCAATTGTTGCTATAAGTAGGTGTTTGAACATGAACTTGAAATTATGCTTTTGTAGGTGCTTTTATTACTCTTTTTGTTTCAAATTAAGTGGTATTTAAAGTTTTGAACACACCCCTATCATTTGAAATTATTTAAGGCGTCTCCAACACTATCATTTATTTTAATCTTTAAATATATAGTTGTTTATTTTTATTCTCTAAACAAAATTATTCTCTTTACTCAATATTATATTATTATTATTTTTTTCATTTTTATTTTCTTATGGAAAAATTATAAATAATGACAAACTAATAAATCAAATTAAATGTTATAACCACACTTTTTGTGCACTGTAGTACTGTTTGTTAGTCGCCTCCCTTTCTCGCTCCCTCTCGCTTTCATACAAACACAAATGTATAAAATGTGTTTATTTTTGTATAAAATGAGAAAAAAAATTATATATATAATATAATATAATTTTGTTTCCCTCTCTTCCTTATCCGAGATCTCGCTCGCCTCCTTCGCCTCTATCGCTTATATAAATAGAAATGAAATGTAATTTTGCAATTACATATATCTTCGTTCTATACACTTATAATAATCAATACAAATATTTCTCTGTCCAATTTTCTTTTATCTTTCTCTCTTTCTCATTTTATATCTACATAAATACAATTGATTTGTATATAACTTTTTTCTTTTGTATATGTATAACGAATTATACAATTGGTTTTTTGTATATGATTAACGAATCGTACACCTGTTTTTTTTGTATATATATATATAGCGAAATATACATATTTATGTTTGTTATGAAGCGTAATTATGCAAAGTATAGTTATAACATACATATATGATTTTTATGTTTGCTATATGTGAAAGTTACTCCTCTTATTTCTTTATATAAATTCTCTCTCTCTCTCTTTTTTCAAATAATTAATTTATATAATTTTAATGTAATATAATTTTTTGAATTCTCTATTTAATATAAAATTATATATTATTCTAAATTTTCAATTAACATATATTGCAAGCAAATATTATATCATATACAAATTAATTGCAAGAAAATTTTTTGTAATAATATTATCATGTCACACGTCGTATTGTTATCTTCTATTTAAATTATTATGTTACGTTGTATTTTTAAATTGATTTCATTTTGTCATTTTAATTTTATTCATTTCTGACGGTGAAAATAAAATAATAATATTATCAAATTATATAAAAATGATGAAAATTTAATTGGAAATAATATTAATTCGGATGAAAGTAGCAAATATTAAATAATATATTTTTTGAAATTTAATATTACATTTAAAAAGGAATATGAATATTGTATGGAAAGTAATATGTTAATTATAAAATGATAAAAAATTTAAAATAGAGAGTGTGAATAGTAGTTTTCTAAATTTGGAGAATTGTTATTTTCTTTACGTAAATGGAGAATAAAGAGTGAATCAAAGTCTATTCGGAGAGCCCTTCTCTATTTTACTTTTCAAATATAGAGAATGGATGTAAAATAGAGGTAAGTTGGAACTCGTGTTAGGAACAGAGGCAGAGCTAGGTGGGGGTTCATGGGTTCAGACGAACTCAATATCTTTTTCATAGACTCTATATTAATACTAGAATTAATTTAATATATGTATAGTAATTTATGTATCCTTAACAAAATTAATTGAAGAAAATTTAAAACCGTTAAACTCTTGATCCTAACTTCGTCTATGCTTAGCAAACTATTAAGTTCTAAAAAAGAGTGTTTTTACTAATTATTCTTAATAAATACATTGAAAAAATATAGCTACTTAATAATTTATTGTTTATGTAAAATTGATAAAAATTGGCAGAGCAGTATTAAAATAATTTCTTGATTATATAAAATTCATTTATTTAATTAAAAACAAAATACCACTTTTTAATTTGAAATAAAATGGAAAATACCACTTTTTAATTTGAAATAAAATGGAAAGACATGATGCATAAAATGTTCTAAAACTTGGGTTTGACTAACATCTATGCTTTCTGATATTGAAAATACATAAATAAATTTGTATAAAATTAAATAAATAAATATATATATTTTACATAATATAATACATATAAAATTTCATCTAGCCGTACTAATTCATATAACATGCAATATTTAAATGTTAAATAATTAGAATTTCACCTTCTGGATTGATAAAGTTAAATATCATATTTACTAATTAAAATAAATATTTTTTAAATATTTAAAAATTATATAAAAGAAAAAATATCGAAAATTAAATGTAAACGGAGTTAATGTATATTAGGTTATTTTTCTAATACCCTTCACCCACAGAGAAATAGCCATTGAAGAAGATGAGGAGAATTTCTCTGCGAAATGGCAATGGCAATGGTATTTCCTTTATCTCTTTCTCTGCTGATTCAGTAATTACTGGAAGAAGTTGTTCTTCATGCGATTACAGTAAAGAATCAATTTCAGTTAAGGATAAAATTGGTGTAAATAGTAGCAATTTAGATGATGCTGTTACTCTCTTCCATCAAATGGTTACAATGAAGCCTCTTCCTTCAGTTGTCGATTTCTCTAAATTGTTTAAGACTATGATAAAGATGAAACATTACTCTGCTGCCATTTCTCTTTTTCGACAAATGCTGAAATTGGGTATCCCAATTAATAATTTCATCTTGAGTATCATGATTAATAGTTATTGCCTGATGTGTCGTGTTGATTGTGCATTTTCGGTGTTACCCATTTACTTGAAAAATGGCATTCCGTTTAATGCTGTCACCTTTAACACCTTATTAAGGGGACTCTTTAGTGAAAATAAGGTCAAAGATGCAGTTGAATTGTTCAAGAAGTTGGTAAGAGAGAAGATTTGTGAGCCTGATGTAGTAACGTATGCAACTGTAATGAATGGGCTAAGCAAAAGGGGTCATACTCAGAAGACTTTAAGTTTGCTCCGGTTAATGGAACAAGGTAATACTGAGCCCAACATATACATCTACAACATTGTTATAGATGCTCTTTGCAAAGATGGAAACTTAGATGCTGCTATCAACATTCTGAACGAGATGAAGCAGAAAGACATTCATCCAGACGTATTAACGTATAATTCATTGATTGATGGTTTATGTAAGCTCGGTCAGTGGGAAAAGGTTACGTCTTTGTTCTCTGAGATGGTGAACCTTAATATTTATCCAGATGTGTGCATCTTCAATACACTAATAGATGGACTATGCAAAGAAGGGAAAGTTGAAGATGCTGAGGAAGTAATGAAACACATGGTCAGAAAAGCTGTAGAGCCTGATATAATTACATACAATGCGATAATGGATGGATATTGTTTGCGTGGTCAAGTCGATAGAGCAAAGAGAATTTTCGATATCATGATCGATAAGGGCATCAAGCCTAACATTTTTAGCTATAACATACTAATAAATGGATACTGTATGACAAAGGAAGTGGATGATGCTATGCAATTGTTTTGTGAAATTTCTCAAAAGGGAACAAAACCTGATGTCGTCACCTACAATACTATCTTGCAAGGTCTTTTTAAAGTTGGAAAAATAGTCCATGCTAGAAAATTCTTTGCTGAGATGCTATCTGCAGGATTCATACCTGATTTTTACACTCATGGCATTGTGATAAATGGTTATTTTAAGAATGGACTTGTTGAAGAGGCTTTGTCACTCTTTAATAAGTTAGAAGGAAAGAGAGAAATTACTGATATTGAATTTTACAATGTTGTCATCAATGGATTGTGCAACATTGGTAAACTCGATGAAGCTCGTGCTATTTTTGAGAAGCTTTCTTTAATTGGATTGCTTCCGAATGTGAGAACATACAATAAGATGATACATGGATTTTGTCTTGAAGGTTTGTTAGATGAAGCTAATGATATGCTAAGAAAAATGGTGGAGAATGGTTATCTGCCAAACGTCTTCACTTACAATGCCCTTGTGCAGGGATTTCTCAGGTGTAGAAAAATTACTGAAATGACAACTTTTATGAAGGAAATGACGGGTAGGGGGTTCTCATTTGATGCAACTACAACTGAGTTATTGGTAAACGTTCTAAGGGAGAGTCCATCCGTCCTTGACATGATACTAGATCTTCATTCAAAAATTATGAAGTGATTCTTTCGCCTGATTTATTTGGCTACACTATCATTGTGATGCAATTTCCTCTAAGCACTGCAAAACAAATGCTTTCTATTGTAGTTGTTGAAGCAGAAAAGCCAATTAGAACGTCGCTTGGGCTTTGCAGGCAGGCTTATTGAAAAGGTAAACCACTTCCTATATTTTTACTGGGTCAAACAATGGATTATAACCCAACTCACCCAACCTCTCCCTCCTTTTTAAACAAATCACAGTTTTGGAAATTAACATAATACATCGATTAACATTTGTTGTAGAAAGCAAAACATTTTCTCATTACCTTATTTCACTATTTTTATTTCTATAATTGATATTTCAGGAAAGTATTCAATTATTAAAATGCATTAGTATTGAATGTAATACTTCTTTCTGGCAACTTCATTAAGTCGAAAGTATCATTCCACTCCAGGGAGATTAGAAATCTGTCTATTCACCCCTGAACCAAGAGAAGTTTTCCCTTAGTAAAGGTAAATCAATAATTACCAGATTAAGAATGAATTCACTGTAGTTGTTTGTTGCGCTGGATCTTCTACTACCATTGCTTTTTTCACTCTTGTATCTGCAAACATTAAAGTCCTCTCCAACTACCCACCAATCATTCCATAAATCCCGTTATGCCGCATGTTCATAGCACAATAGCTCTCTTTCTGGATTGTTGTGAGGTCCGTAGACACTGTGAAACCCCATTTGAACTCCTCTTGTACTCTCCATCAAAATGAAATGGTGTAACTGCCCCTATGAATTTCTCTGACTTTCCATTGTCTTTTTTCCCAATGTATAGAATGCCACCAGTTCTGCCATTGGATTTCAGCTCAGCCCATTCAACCCATATGTTGCCCCATAATTGATAAATCCAGCTTGGTGACCTTTTCTCAACCTTATTTCCTTGTAATAGACTTAAGTTTGGATAGAATTTCTATCCAAATAGGAAATCATAAGTATTTTTCAGTTTTGTTTTCTAATATTCCTTTCTTGTTTGGGTTGGATTACCTAATTTATCCTGGGATTATTATTCCACCCCCATGGAGGGATAACTTATCCTTGGACTAATGGTCAGTCCTAGGATAAGATATCCCACCCTTTGCAACCAAACAACAAATTAATGACCACTTCAAAATTATCCCTGGATTAAATTCTCTTATCCATCACACCAAATAACTCTTTAGTTCCTAATTTACCCTTACCATTAATCATAGTCATTTCCCTATTATATTTTTCAAGGCATTGTATTTATTATATTCAAAGGGTGACATATTAAAGTAGTCTTGAAGGGTTTTTGGATGAATCTAAAGATATTCCAAGGAAGACGGAAGACAATGGTTGTTTTCCCAACAATGTCACTTACTATATTGTTGTGCAAGGATTTCTCAGGTGCAACAAAATTAGTGAAATGGCATCTTTCATGAAGGAAATAGCTGGAAGGGGCTTCTCATTTGATGCAACTACAACTGTTATAAGTGAGAATCTTTCCGTCCTTGACATCATACAAATTACAAGAGCTTCACTTAAAAATTGGAGATAGAAGTTTTAATCCTCCATTTTCTATTGTCTAACTTTGCAAGGTGATTTACTAGATGCCGACACAAATAGTCGGTCATATGTAATTTATTTCAACCAAATGCTCTTTGTACTCTCTTTTTTCTCCTACTCTCTCTCTCATTAACTCTTTTGAACCAGATTACGTCAGGAAAGTCATAGAACTGGGAAGATTATCCAAGCAAGAGAATTTGGGAACTTTTTGACAGAAGAGGTAAATTTGATGGCTCTTCTCATATAAAAGAAAAGTGCAGTATTGAAATGTGTTTCCTGCCAAATGCTAATCTAGTTAAATCTGTAGTTAGATTGCAAGACATTCTTTTAAAATGATGTCAAATTTGTTTGTGTGGGTGGTAGAACAAGCTCATCATGGTCGCATTAGAAACTGAAGTACGAAAGTGATGCAAATGGTGACAGGTGTTAGTTTTTGCTTCATTTCTCAGACCTCTAGCCTTTTTTTAGTGAAGATAAGCTTAAATTCTTTACAACATAGTCTATCGGCTTCTTGGCTCATTCCTCCCTTTCACAGTCACTACACCTTCTTTCCAAAGGTTATGTTCTATCCTTGTTGAGACTGATACACTTGTACTGTTGAAAAGCTGAAAATCCTGGGAAATTGCTCCTTGAATGGCCTGTTCCATATCCATTCGTCTTACCCGAATAGTAATTTTCTACCACTTCCTAGTTAAATTTGAATTTGCTTTAGGAGTTTGATCCATAAGTTTCTGACAAATTATATATTGTCTTTACCTGTTTGTTTGTGCCACATTGTACTGTAAACAGACACTATTGCCTTGTCTTCATAACATATCTTTGGTTTTGAGTTGGTCTGAATCCTCATAACTTGACAACATGATTTATAAAGATTGTAGAATGACAAGATTTTTTTCCTTTTACTGCTTGGATAAGGGATCCCTCATATTTGGTTCTGCTGCTTCTACAAGTTTAAGTTTCATGTGCCAATTTCAGTTGGTTCGATTTGAACATGTTCTTCTCAAGAGGCGGAGCCAGGATTTGAAATTTATGTATTTTGAATTTGTCACCGAACCCACTAGTTCGTCTTAGTTATTGGCTTCGTACTTAAATATTCATACATATTCAATGAAATTCCTGGCACAAGTACAGGGTGACTGGGTATTTCTGAACCCATAGCTAATACTCTCCCTCCGCCCCTATTTTCCAAAAAATTAATTGACCTATTTGTTATGTTGCAGGCAAATATTTGTTTATCGGCATTGGAGCAGTTAATGTAATAGTATCTTGCTTTGGTTGCATTGGAGCGGCAACAAGGAATGGTGGTTGTATTTGCACGAGTGTTTTACCTTCATGACTAATTATGTATTTGTGGAAAACCTAAAATATTTTTGAAGAAATTTATTTCATGAATATGTTAAAATTATGATGTTGGAGAACTTATAATTTGGATAAATTGGAACATTTTCAGTCAGATTTTGAGGTCTTACTTGTATAGCTTCTTCTATTTTGAATTTACTTGGATGAGGTTTTGACCATTTTGGGCTTAATCCAGACTTGCTCACGTGTCAGGGGTGATTTACAAGGATGATTTTGGAGGCGACTAGTCTTAAACTTTTGACTTCACTTGTCCCATGGGAAAAACTTCAAGTTCAACAATTTTTTACTTTTTCCCCAGAAGATTTGTCCATGGAGCAAGCAGCCGGGAGCCAAAAGTTCCAACACCACGTAGGTGTAAGTTCCTGCATGTCAAGGGGTGATAGATTTGATTACATTTCCTATATGTTAGTTCCTGCAGGTAGGTATAAGTTCCTGCATCAGCTTATATATTTCATTGACTTCCCCTTTTTGTCTCATTGCCTGGAATGCAGACACAACTGTGAGTTTTCCTCTTGCTTCTAGCTTCGAGTATGCTCTATCTAATTCCTCCCCCTCTTTAGGTGGGTCCACCTTTTCTAGAATATGTCCTGCCAACCCTTGAGGAAGAATTCTTCTGAGTGTATTTTCTTGCCATTGCCCCCTTTCAGCTGTTTCTTTGACTAGTATATTTGTATGATCACACTCAAAATTTGGTGGAATGATTTGACATAAAGTACACAGTCCTGTCCAATTGTTTAACCAGAAGTATGAGTTGCCCTCTTTCATCAACATAATATAGTACATTTAATGTTTATGAATATTCAGCTGACATTAATACAGACAAGTGCTAGGTTAAAAGTTTTAAATCTCCATTTTCTACTGTCTAGTTCTACAAGATGATTTACTAGATTCCACACTAATAGTTGGTCATGTGTAATATTTATTACAACCAAATACTCTTTGTGCTTTCTTTTGTCCCCTCCTCTCTCTCATTAATTCTCTTGAAAATTACGTCAGGAAAGTCTACGGAACTGGGAAAGATTATCCAAGCAACAGAAGTTGGGAACTTTATGACAGAAGGGGTAAATTTGATGGCTCTTCTTATATAAAAGAAATGTGCAGTATTGAAATGTGCTTCTTGCCAAAAGCTAGATCTGTAGTTAGATAGCAATAGATTCTTTTACAATGATGTCAAATATGTTTGTGTGGGTGGTAGAACAAGATCATTACAGTCGCAGCAGAAACTGTAGCAAGAAAGTGATGCAATTGTCACAGGTGTTGTGTTTTGGTTCATTTCTCAAACCTCTAGCCTTTTTCTAGTGAAGATAAGCTTTATTAAATACTTTGCTACATAGTCTATCCGCTTCCTGGCTCATCCCTCGCTTTGACAATTACTACACCTTTCCAAAGGTTATGATCTATTTCTGCAGAGATACACTTCTACTGTTGCAAAGCTGAAAATCCTGGGAAATTGCTCCTTGAAATGGCTTGTTCCATATCCATCTGTCTTTACCCGAATAGGATTTTTAATAGGATTATTTTCTACCACCTCCCAGTTTAATTTGAATGTGCTTTGGGAATTTGCTCCATAAGTTTCTGACGAATTATATATGGTCTTTACCTTTTTGTTTGTGCCACATTATACTGTTAACAGACGCTACTGCTTTTCTTCATAAGATATCTATAGTTTTGATTCGGTTTGAATCCTCAGAACTTGACTCCATGATTTATTAAGATGATAGAATGACAAGTTTATTCTTCCTTTTACTTCTTGGAGGACGGATGACTCATCTTTGATGTTCAGTTTGTTGGATTTGAACATGTTCTACTCAAGCGGTGGAGCCTGGATTTGAAGTTCATGGGTTTTGAGTTTGTCACCAAAACCTGGTAGTTTGTGTTAGTTAGTGGGCTCGCACTTAAATAATGATATATATTTAATAAAATTCCTGACACAAGTACAGGGTCTAAGCAATAGCTACTGGGCTCGCCCGAACCTGTAGCTATTACTCTCCCTGTGCCCCTATTCTCCGGATAACTAATTGACCTATTTGTTATGCTGCAGGCTCATAATAGTATCTTGCTGTAGTTGCATTGGAGTAGTGACAAGGATTGGTTGCTGCATCTGCATGAGTGGTTTACATTCATGATTACTATGTATTTGTGGAACATTTCTAGATAGATTTTGGTATCTTACTTGCATAGCTTCTCTTTGGAATTAACTTGGATGAGTTTTTGACCATTTGGGCTTAATCTAGACTTGGTTAAATGTCTGGTGTTTTAGCAAGAACTTTTGACCTCATTTGTCCCGCGAGCAAAACTTCAAGTTCAACAAGCTGACTTTTGGCTCGGAAGGTTTGTCCATGGAACAAACGGGGACTAAAGTTCAAGACCACGTTATTTAAAGATGGGAAAGGAGTCAAATATGTCACTAAACTATTCGAAAATGTCTAGATATACCTCTTCTTTGAAGTTTGGCTCTCCCCTGCTCTCGCCATCCAACTTCTCACATAGATGTGATCTTGTAGACGACATCTGCCACATCTCCTTTCAATGACCACATGACATTTATATATATTTTTTAAAATTAGTACTCCCCTTTTAAATAGGCATAATACATATATTAGATTCTAAACTTGACTTCAAATTTTAACTTTGATCTTCAACTTTTATAATGCACAAACAAACACTTTAAGTATTCAACTTTCTAAATAAATAAACACATGAATCCTACATAACATAATACACGTAAGACATAGGACATGTGTCTCTATTTGTTCAATTTTATACAAATTTAAGTGTCTATTTGTACAGATCCAAAGTTGAAGGGCATAAATATGATTTGAAGCCAAGTTAATGAACATATTTATGCATTTTGCCTTTTAAATAACCTATCTATTCCGTAAATCGTCCCTTTTAATTGACGTGTATATCATATCTTACGGTTTATAATTGTTCTAAGCCTGTGTAAATTAATCATATAATGTCATTAATTTTTATATCTTTGGTCATTGTTCAGTTCAAGTTTATAATAGTGCAGGGTTATAAATGTGATTATTTAAATGGGTTGATGATCCGCTACATTCTAGAATTGTAAATCTCAACAACAATTTAAAGAAGGAAAACGATAATCTTCATCATGAAAAGAAAATTTTGAAGAGGAGGATGGTTGATTTTGAAAAATATTTTACATATGATATTGTAGAAAATTGTGAATGTCCAGATGAGATCAGTGTCTCCAAGAGTGAGGAGGTTGTTGATAATAATGATGAGATTCAAAAATCTAAAAAAAAGATTGTAAAATGTGGATTGTCATAGTTATATTGCGGTGTTGTTATGCAACATTCATTACATTTTGGGTGATGAAATAGGAATTTCTAACCTTTGTCATATGTATTTGGTAATCTTTAACATAGAAAATGTTAAGGCTTTGATAATGGGTTAAAAGGGATAAATTTTAGGTAGGATACGACATATAGGTCAGTTAAAAGGATTGATTTAGAGATCGAGTAGGTTATCTAAAAGAGATGTATTAATTTATTTATTTTTAATATAAATGTCATGTGGTAATTAAAAGGGGATGTGACCATTTCATTTGTTATTTAAACAAAGGAATATGAGCTGATATTTCTAGCAAAGCAACTAACGCCCATAATGACATATTTATGCGAAAAATTGGACGGCGAAGGCATGGGCGAGTCAAACTTCAAAACAGGAATATTTCTAAACATTTTCAAATAGTTTATTGCATATTTAATCCTTTTTGCTCTTTAAGATCACTGGGTGCACGTTCTTGCGTATAAAAAAAAATTCTTGCACGTAAGGGGGAGTTAGATTGGATTGGATTTCCTATTAGTTGCCTTTGAGTTTTAGTATCAAAAGCTTAGTATTTTTTTAAAAAAAAAAGGCATATCTAAAGAATATTTCAAATTTTATTTCTAAAATCTCCTATTCGAATTAAGGTCCCTTTAAGAAGAAGCCACAACATGTAGGACCTTTCCCTTTGAACTTGGCACATTTTATTCGATGTATCATTAAAAAAATTCATCAAAGTACAGATACATATAATAAAAGAAAATGAAATTAGTAATATATCGTTCTGTTCAAAAATCTCGTCCGAGAACTTGTATAGAGAAGGATTTTCCGCGGCGCAGCAGTTCTTCCATACCAACTTAGCTGCCCGGCGCAGCTATTGGCATAACAACCGGTACATCATAGGTTAGCCCAGCCCAATCCTCTCGTACTAGGGTTGGCTCCTCGCAGTTCTCCCTTTAACACCAACGGTAGATAGGAACCGAACTGTCTCACGACATTCTAAACCCAACTCACGTACCACTTGAATCGGCGAACAACCAAACCCTTGGGACCTTCTTCAACCCCATGATGTGATGAGTCGACATCGTGGTGCCACCACAAATCAAGATTCCACTTTCATGAAACATTGTTACTTTTATGAAAAATTATGACATTTATAAATGGTTGACACTTTAATGAATAGTTGCGACTTTTTATGAAAAATTGTGACTTTTATGAAAGGTTGTTACCTTTCAAAATGGTCACATTATTTAAGAAAAGCATAAAAACAATTCCCTCATCCCGACTCAGCTTCTCTCTCCGGTACAAGAAATCTAACAATTTCTATTCTTACTAACCTTTTTGCCTAGCATTTTTCAAATATATTGAATTATCATCCCTAATCTAAGATGGCGTGATGTTATCAACAGTAGATTTATTAGACTGCTCTTCTTAATTGAATTTCCAGGCCTGCCAAAGACTAAATAGCATAGCCTATTGAGAGATTTCCTCTCATTTTAAAACAACGAAAATTTTGAAGCTCATCTTCTTCTTCTGCACAAATAAATATCTGTGTACTTTGCTCATGTTGAGTGACTTACTACAGCATTTTATGTATCAGTATATGAATATAATCGTTCTATCTTGAGAGAATTTATTCCTTTAAACTTCGGGTACTATAGGAGAATTATTTCTTTAAGGGGACATTGTGGAATCAGTATGCTCAATTTTTTTCTTTCTATTTCATTCTACTGTTACAAATTCTGATATGTTTTTTTAATTGTGATTAGTTTATACTTATGTTATTGATACAACACTTTAAGATTTCAGAGATATTTTATTTATTAATAAAATATTATTGACAATGTAAAATATGTATCAAAAATATGAATATTATTGAATAAACATAATTAAGCTTAATAAAAGATTTCAATCCCATGTAAAACACGAACAATTTATCTAGTTACAATTAAAAGTAACCGGATGTAGTATATATTAGGGCACCCACACTCACCTATATCACGCCAAATGAAAACTTATTACAAAATAAAATAAAATTAGGAACTTATTCAATGCAACGACTACTAAGACACAAAGGGAATTTCCCATTACTATTTACAGGGACATAAACATCAACTTCCAAGTGTCAAGGCAATCCACAAGGTATATCAAACCTTTTCATTGTGCCAACGATTTTATCCTCATATTCACTAGCATTGTCAATGTATGTTTTGAAAAAACAACTAGTGGTGATATATTGATAATTAGACTGAATCTGTTGCTTCGACTTCTTATGCAAATAGTAAAATATGACATTCATATACTGCACACATGTATCAAACAAGTGTATCAATTTAATTGTATAATATTGGCATGGATTTACCTCATCATTTCAACACTTTTTGGGTTGAGACATTACATAGAACCAGTCCTTATTCCTTGAAAATGCAACTACAAAATCAAGTTTTGAGCAATTGGCTAAGTAGTGATCGTCCTTGTTTCCTCTATCATTATAAATAATTATTTAGTGGACAACAAGAAGAAATACTAATAATAGTTGAACGACTTTACTTTACTTACTTTTTTGCATAATATTTGTAAAGATCCTCATTTATCCGTTGCGAGAAGGATGACATTAGTTCATTTGGACCCTCGCCGTCAATGTTAAAACCTTCAAATGGATATTGTCGCTTCACATCACAACTGACGACTTCGACTTTCTTCTCTTTATTCCTCTTTCGCTTTCTCCTTCTCCTTCTCTTTCTGCTTCTCCATCTCCTTAGCCTTCTTCTTCTTCTCCTTCTCATTCTCCTGTTTTGCCTTTTTCTCCTTCTTCTCCTCCTTCTTTGCCTTCTTCTCTTTCTCCTTCTCCTTCTCCTTCTCCTCCTTTCCCTTCTTCTCGTTCTCCTCCTTTGTCTTCTTCTCCTTTTCTTTCTTCTCACTAATTATAGAAAGTATTCGAAAAATAGATTTTTTCAACCTCCTACACTTCAAAGGCTGTGAATCTTCTTGGATCTTTGCACATTAATATTATGAGACATTTTCTTAAAAATATCAGTGAGTTTTTCAACACGATTAATAAAATAATAATGTTGCTACTCACATTCTTCTCAAAGACAAAAAGAGCATTTCATGTTAGAAGATGAAGCAACACAACATATGATGATTGTTTGAATATGCACCAACATATCACTAAATTATAGCAACATACGATAAATATTTCAACAAATGAAATATATGTTGGACAACTGAACAAGACTAAATTTCTAAAATCATATCATCAAAATGGCCACAAAAAGAACAATAACAACAACAAAAAATAACTTTTCACTGAATGATAACAACACATATACATTTCCTCAAAATGAGGATTTTTTGGATTGGTTGATTTTCTTTCAAAAATAATAAATGATAGACACCATTAAGTTGATTATTCAATTTTTACATTGTTCATTAATCCAAGAAAAAAAAACATCAAAAATTGTAAAATATTTTTAAAAATAATTTATCCATTTTTAATCGAACATGATTTCAGTTCAGAAAGATGAGAAAATAACGACTGGAGAGGAAGATAATGAAGGAGAAATAGACGGATTTCCGAATTTTTAAAGTAAAAGAAAAACAATCCCCAAGAAAAAAGAAAAGATGTAAAGATTCTTTTTTTAAAAAAGAATAATTTGATTTGAAGAGAATTATAAAAGTGATGCTTTTTTTATATTTTATAAAAGATTAAAAAAATTTAGAAATATTAATTTGGTCCTATATTTACTTAATTAAGAATATTTGACCATTTTTGGTCCATCTGTCACCAAAAACACCTTTCCCTTAATTTTCTCCAGAGATACAGCCATCGAAGAAGATGAGGAGAATTTCTCTGCGAAGTGGCAATGGTATTCCCTTTCTCTCTTTCTTTGCTGATTCAGCAATTACTGTAAGAACTTGTTCTTCATTCCATTATAGTAAAGAATCAATTTCAGTTAAGGATAAAA